ATTGGAAGGAATGGTGATGATGAGTGCACAACAGTGTGAATGTAGTTAACACCACTGAACTGTACAATTAAAAATGGTTAAGATGGTAAAGATGATAAAATTTTGTTATGTGTATTTTATCAAAATAAAAAAGAAAATATGAAATGGTTAAAAGTGAATATTTGGGCAATGATTACCCAGAGTCAAACATTAGAGAAAAGGAAGGATTTTTATTATGCAAAATACTTTTTGAGTGGCATGAGCTTTCACCATATATTCAGCTCTACAATTTTAATTTACAAATAGATGGTTCTAGAAAAAAAAGTCCTCTTTTCTTCTGCACATCTAGAACTGGGTTCTGAATCAAAGTAAGAATGAATTTTGAAAGTCTTTGCATTAAGTGGTTTTTGATGAAAATGGGCCAAGTAAAATTGAGTAAAAGCACAACTACCCAAAAATGTGAATGCCAGCTAAGTAATTGACATGTTCTCTAAACATCTTATAGCAAAGGAGCAAATTATTGGTTGATTAATATCCTATTAAGTCAAATGAAGTGGCAAAAGCAAAAAAAAAACAACAACCAAAAAAAACAACGAAAAACAAAACTAAAAAACAAAACAAAACAAAAAACCCCCAAACCAAACCCCTTAATATTAAAAATGGATTTTGCATTTTCATAAACAGATTTTTTCAAAAAACCTTTCCTCCAATCAATAAAGTAAAACTTCCTGCCAAATGGAAATAATGCCATGAATGTGTTTGTCTAAATATAACTTAAAATGTATATCTCATTTTTATGCTTAAAATAGGTTCCATTAAGTAATTTTATTATGACATATCCTAGAGTTACCCTGATTCATACAACGTAAGAGTTATGTATGGTCACCATATCTGAATTATAAGGGCTAGTCTGAGTTCATTTTGGGAGACTAGTGAAATAAAGGCCCCCTTGCCAAGCATTAAGATAGAAAATCCTAAGGGATTACATTCATGTTTACTTTCTAAATTATACCAAAAGCTCAATTTTATTAAGTATAATCTACCTAGCCTTGGTTTAGATGTGCATGTATGTATTATTTATGTTGATTTTTCATATTTTTCTACTTTGGTTGAGATGTGAATGTATATATTATATTTTTTTATACAAATATTTTTCCATCCATGTGCCAATATATCCTGCTTAATATTGGTTACTATGATAACATTTAATATCATAATATTACTTTCCTAAATGCTTTACTGAGGTCTTCTAAATAGTAGCATATGTTGATAGGAATAATAATTTTAAATTTTATTGGATTAAAAAAAGGAGCTACTTAGGGGTAGGACCAACTTTTGCTCCCATTTATTTTAAATTGTTAAGAAAATAGACCACCAATTGGGGATAACTGTAAATGGCAATCATTCAAAGTTATATCAGACTCTGGGCCCTAAAAAGCATTATTGCTAATTTTAATTGAGTTATGAAATAGTTTCTTTTCAAGAATCTATGTTCAAGTATCTTGAAGGGTTGCAGTCATATAAATGCACAATTTCAGTTCTTGTTAGCCTAAAGCATAATTTTTAACATTTTCTAAAAGGTGGTTCAATTGTACATTTTGATTCCATTATATGTGTAATTAAACCTGTATGCACAAACGCATTTTCTTATGTTCTAGCAAATATACCCACAGGAATCCTCTTTTAAACTATAATTTATTTAAACATGTAATCATAGGACTTTAAAAACATGCTTTCATTTTTCCAAACTGTATGCCAATTTGAACTGCTTTGTGATAAAATGAGAGATTTTTATTACCATTTTGATTTCTCCCCCCACGTCTCCCCGTGACCTAACAGTGAGTTAAACATGAGCAGGAGGAAATAAAGAAAATCTATTGTGAACCTAACTCCATGTGTTAAACTCTCCCTTTTCCAGACAAATGGAAGAGAATAACAGATTTGTAAATATTTATGAATTCCAGCACAATATGAATATTGGGGCCTGCAGCATGCTCTCCTGGGGATAGGCCTAAGTAGTAATAGCTCGCTCTCTCTCTCTCTCTCTCTCTCTCTCCTCCTGAACGTTGTGGAGTCAGGCCCCCTACTGACAGAATCAGTCAATTACAGTCGTGGGCGGCTCTACTGACACTGTCATCAGAACCTGGTGGGGACACAGGAATTTGGGGTTTTGAGCCTAGTCCTCCTCTACACTTTCTGAAGCCTGTGCTGGATCCTTCCCACCCCAGCACATCCGACCCGTGCCCAAAATGCCAGCTCTAGGAGTAGCTTAGCCAATAATTGGTTTAAGCGAGTATTTCAGTCTTGCATCTGGTGTGTCTAAGAAGTATAGCTTCCCAGGAACGAGTTCTCTTCCCAGAGAACTCTTAAACGGATTGTAGCACAGAAGGAAATAAGCCCACCTTTTCTCTCATTTGAATGTTACATTTAATTACGCCATTCCAAGTCATTAATAATTATTATACTAAGCTGCTGTGAGGACTGCCTCTCCATCTCGGGTGCATTAAGACTTGGGCAAAGCCTGTGGTATCAAGGAGCCAGACTCCACAGGTTGCTGGTATAGAGTAACGAATCCCAGTATGTGTTCCTCGGAGCTCACTTGGAGAACTCCAGAACATTTTCCCACTCTCTGGGAGAAAATTCTCACATTGTCCCCAAACTCAACCCAGGGCGATGGGAGTGTTTTTTTTAACCGCAACAAGGGTGGAGGAGCCTGCGGAGGAACTCTATCTACTTACGTATGCCTATTTGTGTATGGAGGTAATGGTTCTCCCAGCCCCCGCTTTCCTAGGAATACATTAAAAAATAATAACCGCCACCCCAGCCAGGCTGCGCTTGA